ATTCAGGTTTGCCCTTGTCTAGATAAGAGAGCAAACGTTCATTCCATGCAGAATCATGTTTTGAACATACGGAGTGAGGATATACTTTGATTTTCCATGGAACCGTAGCAACAATAGGCGAATGTGGAGGTATAAATATGACCTTTTACAAGCACTGGGTATGGAAACTCAATGATTTGCTAGCAATTCGGATGGATTTGGCCCATGAGGAAAGCTAGGATTTCAAAAAAAAGTTGTAGAAAATGACACCTGAACGGCGTGAACATCAGAAATTTTATTAGAGCATTATTTTATCATAATAAGCAACTAATGGAGAGTTTTACTAAATAAATAATTGGACCATTTCAACAAAGATTTATACGGAAAGTACGTTGTACCAAAAAGTTAGAGTTGCTGGATTTGAAACAGTCATTATCGCTTCGAAATAGATTTAATTTGTGTTACTATTAGGAAACATACTTGCTGCGAGTCTCATTCAATACTAGTGAGATTCTAGCCTGTTACTATCAACACTTTTATAATAAATATCAACTTACAACTTAGGAAAGTGTCCAGACCCACAGGGGAGATTTTCCAATTCGAGCAGAAACAAAATCAATCAAAATGGACGCTATAGGGAGGAACTCCATAAATCTTGCTCTTGAGGCGGTTTGCGGCATTTTTGAACATTCTTTAATAAGTTACTTACCTTGCTCTGCTCTACTCCTTACCTCCCCCCTCCCATCGTCCCTCTTTTCATTTTCACTTTGCGTCCGCCAATGTCTGGACCTAGTGAATGTGAAAGCAATGATGTGTTAACAACGTCAAACAAATGTTTGCTGTATGGTTAAGTAGCGGCGTAAATACACTTGGTAGAAGTCGGCAATTGAAAGAAACGGTTGGCAGTAACCTGTGAAAGACTGCTTCCAGTTGCTTCGTCGAAATGTGAGTCAAAAAAAGCGATACCCCGTTCACGGATTCGATAACACTGTCTTAAACCCGAGCTTTTTGAGATTTGGATTACCTGGTAACGTGTACCGGA